AGTAGCAATCAAGGAAATGCAAATAAAGGGGCTGGGGAGATGGCTCAGTAGAATAAGTGCTTGCCTGGCAAGCGCAAAGACCTGAGTTCAATCCCCGGTTCTGAAAAAAAAAAAAAAAAAAAAAAGCAAATAAAAACTACAAGTACACATGCCACTTCCTATGTATTATGATTTACAAAAAACAAAAAACAAAAAAAACAAGGATGGACAGGTGTTGGCAAAGAAGTAATAGAGAAAAGGCAGTCTTATTGTTGGTGGAAATGTAAATTGATATAGTATTGTAACATAGGATAGAAATGATCCCTGAAAGTGTAGCCTTTTGATACAGTCTTGTGAAAAAAATATATGAAATTTACTCTAAAAGTAGAACTATCATGGGCCAGGGAGATGGCTCAGTGGAATATGCACTTCCCTGGCAAGTGCAAGGGCCTGAGTTCAGTCCCTGGTTCCACCAAAAAAAAAAAAGTAAAACTATCACACAATCTGGTAATCCCATATCTGGATATATGCTTGTCTTAGTTACTTTTCTCTTGTTGCTGGGACACAATACCTGACACGCAAAATTAAGGAAGGAAAAGTTTACTTAGCTCACAGTTTGTGAAGGTTTCAGTCCGTACTCAGCTGGCTCCAAGGCAGAGTGGCACATGGCAGAAGGCAGCAGCTCATAGAGGCAGGAAAGAGCAAAGAGCAAAGGGAGGAGCAGTGGCAACAAAGGTAGCAGACAGCAAGTGTGTTTCCCTTACGATGCATTCAGGCTCTCCGCCCCAGGCTGGGTGCAGCACTCACACCCATAATCCCAGCAGTACTCACACCCATAATCCCAGAAGCACTCACACCCATAATCCCATCAGTATTCATACCCATAATCCCAGCACTGGATCACGAATTAATAAACTCTGGAAGTCCACCCCAATGGCTGCATGAGGCTTTGCGGGGACAACTAGACACAAACCATAACAATACTCAAAGGATATGAAATCATATGTCAAAGAGATACCTGCGTGACCATGTTCACAGAAGCGCTGTTCCTAAAGGTCAAGATATGGGGCCAGGGAGATGGCTCAGCAGAATAAGTGCTTCCCTGGCAAGCACAAGGGCCTGAGTTCAATCCCTGGTTCCACCAAAATAAAACAAAAAACAAAAAACAAACAAACAAAACCCCTAAAGGTCAAGGCATAGAATCAAACCAAGTGCCAAAACTGATGGCTGAATGAGTATAGAAAATGAAATTTACACACACACACACACACACACACACACATCCATCCATAAAAAAGTAGGAAATCATGCCATTTCTTCTTTTTTTTAAAAAAATTTATTTGTGTGTGTGTGTGTGTGTGTGGCCAGCTCAGCCCACCAGGGGGCGGGGCTGGCCGGCATGTGGTGCTGGGGGACTGAACCGCGGTCCCTGTGCTTTGCTAAGCTTGTTCTAAGTTGGTGCTTTAGACCACTGAGCCATCTCACCAGCCCATTTCTTCCTTTTTTAATCTTTTACTTATCTATTTGGTACAAGGTCTTGTTACACAGCTCAGACTCATAGTGATTCTCCTGTTTCAGCCTCCCCAGTGCTGGGATTACAGGTGTGCACCACCATACCTGGTTTCAGTGGCTAGCTCAGCATCCAGGGGCTGTCACGGCATGTGACACTGAGGATCAAACCTGGGTCCTTGCACTTGCCAGGCAGGCACTTACACCACTGAACTATTTCCCCAGCCTGAAATCATGTCACGTCTGAAAACAGAATGAACCTGGTGAGGAATTTCCCAAGTTCAATGAGCCTGACACAGATAGAATATTACTGTGCAGGGGCTGGTGAGATGGCTCAGTGGTCTAAAGCACCAACTTAGAACAAGCTTAGCAAAAAAGCACAGGGACTGTGGTTCAATCCCCCAGCACCACATGCCAGTCAGCCCCGCCCCTTGGTGGGCTGAGCTGGCCACACATACACACACACACACACATAAATAAATAAAATTTAAAAAAAGAATATTACTGTGCAATCTCACTTCTATGTAGAACTTC